TGTCATGCTCTTGGGATGTCATTTAATCAAAAAGACTTTGCTCAGGACAATGCCAACGTGAAGGCTATTAGGGAGAAGATGGCGGTGGATATATTTAAAGACCTCCCTGGCTAGCATGAGAAGGAAAAAAGGTTAATTTTGAGAACATATGTGCTTATGATGGGTGATAGATTAGGCTGATGTTTGTATGTTTGTATTTGAACTTGATTAGGCTGATGTTTGTATGTTTTGTTTGCTTGTTGTAACCTTTATTTGCACAGAAGACTTACCGTTAAGTCATCTGGAATGTTGGACGATTTAACTGTAAGGCTGTGCAGTGACATTTCGGAACCTCCTTAAATTTTGTAGTGAAAATTCATTGACTTAATTATTAGTCGTTCGAGAAGTCTAACACAAATTCATAACACATACTCATAAAGCCCGAACGACTTAGTTGAAGACTTATAATTAAATCGTCTGGAAAGTCTTCCAACTTAATTATTAGTCGTCTGAGAAGTCTAACACAAATTCATAACACATACTCATAAAGCCTGGACGACTTAGTTGAAGACTTATAATTAAGTTATCTGGATTTCAGATGACTTAATTATTAGTCGTCTGAAAAGTTTAACACAAATTCATAACACATACTCATACAGTCTGGACGACTTAGTTCAAGACTTATAATTAAGTCGTCTGGAAAGTCTTCCAGCTGGAAAACTTTCCAGACAACTTAATTGTTAGTCGTCTGACAAGTGTAACACAAATTCATAACACAAAATCTTAATACATAAATTCATAACACAAATTATTAATACATAGATTCATAACACAAATTCTTAATAGATAGATTCATAACACAAATTCTTAATAAATAGATTCATAACACAAATTCTTCTGGACGGCTTAATTAAAGGTCTTGTAGACGACTTAATTAAAGGTCATTATTTACATTGTGCTTTTCTATTGCCAGTTTCTCTGCATAATGAGCATCTATAAATCTTGTGTTGCTTCCGGGGTTTGCGTCCTCTCATCCCGGATAACTCCAACTAAGATTGCCATCTTGATTTCTTCTGTCTGCCCAGACCACGCTTTTCGGCCAGATGATCGCATGTGCGTTCCTTAACTTGTTGTCCAGCACAAAGATATATATTCTCTGAGTATCCTGCAAACAAATAATTCTTTGAGTACACTGGATGTACAAGTGTGGAGATATACACACGAGCATGTGATCCATCAGCTAGAGCATGAGAGCAAGGTATTTTCTCCACTTGATAGACACCACAATCACACTTTCCATTCTCCAAATCAACTACATAGTCTATTTGCCACCTTTCACAATGAATTTCCATCCATCAATTGGTTGAGCCCTCATCGTATCTGCTATCTCCGATTGAACAACAAGCAAGTATTCAACACCCCGACTATGATCTGTTAGGAGACTCAAAGAATCTTCTCTCATTTTCCAAATCCACTTTCTTAGCTTCTTCCTTATGAACTCCAACAAGAACTGAACAGAAATCCTATAGCTCGCTTCAGTGTGGAATTAATAGATTCAGCGATGTTGCTTGTTTTTATGTTGTACATGTCCCCCTGACAATAAACCCTTGAACATAGGCTAATGTCAGCATTCTACAAATACGTTGCAAGGTCCGGGTTTGCACTCCGTATCTCAGCCATGTACCAGTCAAAATCTGAAACCGTATGAGCATAAGCAACACCTTTCACAAAGTACAAGAGATGTTTCCCTTTATACTTTTTTGACAATGTTATCTTGAAGGTGATAATAACAGATTCCTCGGGTTGCCCAAGGAAACACCTTATCTCACGCACTTTTAATGGTCGTGTGCCAGTCGGAGACTATCACCAGAGGCTGCTCATTAGATACACACGTAGCCAATTTTGTGAAAAACATTCCCATGAAGGTTCATCTTCAGCATATACGATCCAAAAAGTCAATGGAAATATCTGAAAATTCCCATCTTGTGCAGCTGCAACTAACAAAACACCTCCATACTTCCCACTTAGGTGAGTCCCATCCACCACAATGACCCTTCTCTGATACTTAAATCCTTTGATAGAAGCTCCAAAAGAGAAAATAGATACTTAAATCTATTGTTAGAATCAAGGTCTATAGCCGTGATAGAAACGGGATTTTCTAAGGAGATTTGCTCGAGATATGATGGCAGACGCGAATATCCATCTTCTGCTGATCCTCTCACCAATGTTTGTGCATATAAAAGTGCTATGTGTGAAGTGGTGTAATCAAGCATCATGCCAAACATGTTATTCATTGCATCAATGATATGCTGCGGAGTCAACCCATCAATTCAAACACGATCAATGAAAAAGCCTACCAACATACTTTGGAGTACAGTGTCTCCGCTGAGCGATTCGGTCTCCCACTGAGCATGTATGTGTTTACACATACTTTGTTACCCAAAACGTATTTGTCCCATGTTTCACACTCGCTCTGATTTTCCATCCACAACCACTAACCCGGCATGTTGCCACAAGGAGAGTTTTCGTTGACTTGTATATTCTGAAGGAGAACTTACGCCTTACTGCTGTCAACCATAGCTCTGAAAGAAGAGCATCTTTGCTAGCAAAACTCTAGTTGACATAGATACTGTTACAATTCGATCTTTCTCCTTCAATAGCATATGTCTTTTTGAAATCTTCAAAACACATATCATCATCTTCTTCCTCATCCTCATCTTTAACCTTTCCATAAACACTGTAATCTCACCCTTCTCGTCCTCTTTGGCAACAATAGAGATATCATCTTCCTTCTCCCCATCATCCTCCTCCCCATCATGATTTTCATCTTTAACCAAATCATCATCATCATTTTCAAAACATTCATCAGCTTCTTCCCTTTCCTTTGAAACCGTTCCCACCTTGCTACGGCTTGATACACAAAGCCGTACTCCATGCGTTTTCGTTATCTCGAGCAAGTTTCGAACTTGTCTATCACTTGTAACATGAATAGGATGGCTGTCTGGATCCACCTATTGAATCATTTCTGCTGGTAGTGAGTAGGTTATCTCCACAGATTATGTGCTCATGTCCAAGTTAAAATCTTCTTGAGCCATTAAAACAAGTTCAGCATGTGTCGAACCTTCACTCAAAAGAAACATTCTCACTCATTTGAAATTATCAACCACAAAATCCCAACAGCCATCTTTGAACAGCCATTCCCATACACTGCACGTAACTGACACATCATCTGCAAAAATTCAAAATAAAACACATTAGTAAACATAGAGAAAATGAAAGTTTACTAAAGACTGACGCCGACGACATACCAGTAAGTCGTCTGGAAGACTTAGACGACTTACCAGTAAGTCGTCCAAACAGGTCATTTTTGCAATTGAATTTTGAATGTGACGACTTAATTGTAAGTCGTCCAGCTTTGTTTGTTAAAAAAAACTCTAGACGACATACCATTAAGTCATCTAGGATAAACAGGTTAGTTTGTAAGTCGTCCAGCTTTGTTTGTTAAAACAAAAAAAACAAAGTTAGACGACTTAGAATTAAGTCCTCTATTTGACCAGAAGACTTACCTGTAAGTCTTCTACAGCGAGACGACTTACGGGTAAGTCTCAGATGACTTACATGTAAGTCTTCTACGTGAACAGATCTGTTAAAAATTTAAATTTCATACTTTATACTAGTGAGATGACTTCCTTAACACAGAGAGTCTTCTCAAACCCACCCAGAACCTCAAACGAAACTAACCCACGAAGAATAGTAAGCTTGAATGGATCTATCAACCATAAAAACTTTTGTTACAAAAGCTTGAGTTTTCCGATGAATATGGAGACAAAGTGAAAAGATGTTGTTTTTAGTTCATAACAACTGAGAAAGAGAGAGTGTAAATCGATTTTAGGTGCATTAAGAGCATCAAATTGGTTGTTCATGGTAGTTAGGGTATTGATGGCAATGGCAATCTTGTAAATACTTGAAGATGATGAGGTTGAGAGAGTTAAAAAACAATTTTTGAAAAAAAAATTAATGGGATTTTCGTAAACAATGTGAACAGGTGGGGTGAATTGGACAAAATAAAAGTAAAAAAAAAGGTTAGTTTTGTGTTTGACTTTGAGTTTTGAGTCAAATTTGTAAAAAGTCCTATAAGTAAGTTTAATATATAACAGATTTTCGAAAATTAACATCTAATAACTTTAAAAAATATATATTAATTTAAAATGAAATATTTAAAACAATTATAACTACATATACAAATTTAAGTTATGTAAATTTTAAAATTTATGTTATATGCTATTAAAAATATTCACAAATAGTATATAGCTATAATTAAGTTGATGGTATAAAGGGAAATTTGCCAAAAACGACATATATATTCATTTAATCAGAAAGGTAAGGTGTATCTATTATTCAATCAATTGCAAACCTACCTAATAAGGTAGTAAATTACCATTTAACTCTTATAACCAAAAAAAAAATCAGAAAGTTATTTTACGATCTGTCATTCAGAAGTCTACACTTAATACAAAGAAGTCAATGCATACGTTGACCTACTAAGAAGTCTACTATGTAAACTTATTTTGTAGTCTACATTGTAATTCGATCTAATAATTAAATTTTGTAAAATTTTGTTAAAAGTAATACTTGTGAAATTTTTAATCAATCATCAACATAGACGTTAATATGAAGTATATATATATAGTAAAATTTTGGGAAATTGCTAAAACTACATTATTTTACTTTTACATTAATCATCTTTACCCATTTTCTTCATCGCTGGCGAGTTCTCCGGCGAATCTAACAAAATCTACATGTTAAGACGAATCGGACGATCTCGGCGGCGTTCCGGTGATCACCACCCTCAGGATCGGAGCCATATCATATCTATCTGGATAACTGTTAAATTTTATGCTATTTTAAGTATGAATGTTCCGATCAATTAAATCTAATTTTTATTTATTTCTCTATCTGATTCACGAAGCTTACAACTGATTCTTGTTGCAGAGAGATTCAAACGATAGAGAGAGAGGTTGATGTCAGGGGTTGGAGTGATCGTTTCGGATCCATTGCTACAAAGCCAGCTCACACAAGTCGAGCTTCGTTCTCTCAATACCAAGGTAACTTCCGAATCTGCAATCTCGTTTTTGAATCTGTATATAATAAAACCTTTGGGATTCGTTTTTTTTAGTTTGCGGCGTTGAAGAATCAGAGTGATAAAGTTACATTAGAGGATCTTCCACCTGTATTAGCCAGGGTGAAGTCACTCACCTCTGCTTTCAAGGAGAAAGAAATCAGAGAAACCTTACCAGATGATCTTGATTTCGAATCCTTCCTCAGGGTTAGTTTGTGAATGAATCTCTTTAACGGATGTATTTTTTTTTTGGATTTTGATTAAATGATATTTGATGTTAATTTTTTGCAGGTCTATTTAATCTTGAGAGATAAAGCTGCTGATAAATCTGGTGGTCTTAAGCACTCGGCGTCGTTTCTTAAAGCTAGTTAAACGACTCTTCATACAATTAATCAGTCTGAGAAAGGCTCTTTTGTTCATCATATCAATAGATATCTTGGGGACGATCCGTTTTTGAGGCAGTTTCTTCCTTTGGATCCGGATTCTGATGGTTTATATGAGCTTGTGAAAGATGGTGTGCTTTTATGGTAAATTTAGAGAGAGATTTTGTGTTTTGGATTTGCATCTTAGATTTGGTTTGACTTGATTCTCTGTTTTTTTCCTTTTTGGCACAGTAAGTTTATTAATATAGCAGTTCATGGGACAATAGATGAGCGGGTTGATATCAACACGAAAAGAGTACTTAATCCGTGGGAGAGAAATGAGAATCATACGCTCTGTCTCAACTCTGCTAGAGATTTTGGCTGTAGTGTGGTTAATATTGGGACACAGGACCTGTCTGAAGGATGAGTATACTTTGCTTGCTTGGGTTTTAATATATTGATGTTTAGACTGTTATAGAAGATGCTGACCATTGAATGCTTTTCTTGTTTTTGCAGCCTCATCTGGTGCTTGGATTGATCTCCCAACTCATAAAGGTCCACACTGATTTTGCTATTTGCATCTTCCTTTGTGTTTGTGCATGATAATTTACTAACTAATCCTGGGACTTGGGAACTGCAGATTCAGCTCCTCGCTGATCTAAGTTTGAAGAAGATGCCTCAGCTTATTGAACTGGTTCTTTCTCAATCCTTTTTCTCAGCTTTTTGAGAAAACTGTATTGCAAGTCTCTCGCAACAGTAGTTTTTGTTTTTTGGTTGTGTGTTATCTGTTTGCTTATACCTTTCTCTCTGTGTGTGTATTTCTCAGGGGAAAATATCCGTTTGGTGATTACATTGCTTACTCCAATGATACATTTACATTAACTGAAGTGAAGCATCTGTGGCGACAAAAAGGATGTGTGAAGAAATATGGTAGGCGGCTTGTAATGAGGTTGGATGATTTTGAGAAGCCGGCTAAGAGTAATGTCTTATGTAGTAATTGGAAGAAGTGGCAGGAAGCTATTATATGGTTAGTGAGGACAAAAACAAAACAAAACTTATACATCATTGCATCCTAAGTTATAATCATTACTTTTGGTTTCTTTGACGATATTTCAAGGTTTCAAGGCACAACAGATGCTGTGGCGTCTCAGTTTTTTCTAAAGAACGTGCAGCCAGAGATGAGAGCTGCTGCAGTTGAGCTGTTTGGAGAGCAAGGAAGCTCAGCATCAAGAGCGAATGTGTTTGGAGAGCTGATGATGAGTCCTATATCTCCCACTAAAGATGTGAAAGACGCAGTGGACTGAGTTCTACGAGAGACTGGTGATCCTGATGTTTTATTACACATGCGAATGCTGATGAGCAAGTATGTTAAACACACACACATCTCTGTCTTTTTTTGGCAGCTGATAAATATTACTTCTCGTGATCTCTTCCAGAGCTGTTAGACCTCTGCGTGCAGCGGTGAACTGCCTAGGGAAAGCAGTTAACAGACTTGGTGTATCGAAACCGAGAGTGGTTATAGTCTCTGACACACCATCTGTAGTGAAAAATCTCGAACTAAATATCAGCTCAGTTGCTGAGGTATCTGATCTTTCCAACTAAATGCATCAGTTACATTGGAGGTGGACTGAATCAGTTGCAATGTGTTTTTGCAGGTTCTGTATTTTGACTTTAAGCTTTTCCGAGGTGATATAGCTCAACGTGGACGTGGGTTACCAATGTTAGACTTCAGAATAAAAGATTGGGGTCCAGCACCCAGATGGGTTGCATTTGTAGACTTCTTCCTCGCGTGCCGTGCAAAACATGCTGTGATCTCAGGTGCTCACAGACGAGTCGGGACTACTTATGCTCAGTTAGTTGCTGCACTAGCTGCCGCAAATAGTCTCAGTTAAGAGCTTACTTAGTTCCTGTCTTTTCATATCTCTGTATATGACCGGTACTGACTTGGTTTTATATTTGTCAGAGGACGGTTCTAGCAACTCGAGCTTTGCGTTCTTGAGTAGTTTCCAAAGTAATCTGTTAGCAGATGGTCTAAAGAACCAGGTTGGGTGGGGACATGTCTGGAACAGATACACTGGTCCATTGAGCTGTCCAAAACAGCCAAACCAGTCTTGTAAATGATTTATGAAGTCTTGTAAATGATTTGTAAATTTATAAAGCCATGTACACGAACTTATCACCCATTTATAAGAGTTTATAAATCTATTTACAAGGTTTATAAATCTATTTATAAGGATTTATACAAAATATTAAAAGAGTTTAATAATCTTCATAAAACAATTTATAAGAGTTTTCATTTAGAAGAGTTTATAAATCATTTATAAATAGATTTACTTAATTCACTTTTAATGTTTTTCGACTCGTATACGGTCTCAAAGCATCCTATTTATTCACACACTGTTTTAGAATATCAAAAAGCATGCTCTTCTTAGAATATCAGAAAACTAATAAAATCTTATATAATGTTTACAAGTTTTATGAAATAAATATAAAAACTCTTATAAGAGAATATATTAAATCATTTTATAAGGATTTATAAATTGTTCATAAGGTTTAAAAGTCATTTATAAGTGTTTATAAATATATCATAAGGGTTTATAAAACATTTATAAGTATCTAATATTATAAGAGTTAATAATACATATATAAAAGCTGATATTCAATTATAAAGTATGTTTTATTTTGATTTACAAGAATGTATGAACTGATTTATAAGATAGCCTTCTTAACACTACTCCCACTAGCACTTCTTGAATTCAATTGTCTGGTAGCAACCTGTGAATTGATTTTGCGCTTGACATCATACTGACTCCGTTTCTCCTTTTCATCTGTTATAATATTATTTATAAGCCATTTATAATTAGTTATATTTTTTTATAAATAAATTTATAAACCATTCTAAATTAGTTTATAATTATTGTATAAGTCATTTTTTAATAAATAAGTTTATAAGCCATTCTAAATTAGTTTGTATAAGTCGTTACGAGCATCTCTCCTCCACCACCACCACAATTTGCAACAAAATGACACCCAAGTTAATGGAAACATTTACAAGACTTCATAAATCATAATGATCACCTCGAGTCCTCTCTCAGCTACCTTTAAACTCTTCTCTGGATGCAAAGACTCTCCGTAGAGAACCTTTCCCTTAACTAACCGAACCACAGCTGGAAACCTTCTATCCAGCTGAAACCCAAGCACTACAAGAAAACAGCGATATTCCGAGGGCCAATTTCCTCGGAATATCGTCGGAATAGACGTATTCCGAGGACATTCTGAGGAAAAAGGTCGTCGGAATTTTTTCGTCGGAAAAAAATATTTCCTCGGAATTTCGTCAGACACACCGACGAAATTCCGAGGACTTCCGATGGACCAACATTCCGACGAAATTACGATG